CCTTGAGTGAGAAGCCAGGGGGAGGCAGGTGTGTGGGTACCTGTGCTCTCATTTTCGTCTCGTTTCCAGTGACAAGTCCTGGCAGACCTGAGCCTCCCTTACAAGCTTCAGGCCTCAGTGCTTGTACCTTCGGGCCTGGTGTCACCCCAACAGGGATTCCGTCCCGCGGTTTCCCCTCCCATCCCCATTTCAACAAAGATCAGATTCATCAAGAGGGCAGATTGCAGAGCGTACGGGGCACGAACCAGCTTAGATGAGGGAAGGGCCCGACCTGTTAGCCTTGGTAACAGTGTGAATTATTGTATTCTTTAGATCTTTATCTAACGTGATTTTATGCACTTTCACCAGTCCTTTATTTCCCCAAATTGTGAGGATTTTAAATTAAATCACACTGGCTGCTGGGGGAAATCATAGCCTCCCACAACATCACGGGTCAGTGCGAAGTCTCTAGGCCTGGTCTCTGCCCCTTGGCAAGGGATCAGTGCAACGAACACTGTGCAGTGGAAATATAAACCAGGTGCACAGTCATTCCTGATTTTCTAGTAGCCACGTGCAAAAGGTGAAAAGAAATAGGTACAATGAATTTTAGCACCATGCTTTGTTTAACCAAATACGTCAAAAATATTGCCAGTGCAACGTGCAATCATTGTAAAAATGATCAGTGAGACGGTTCACATTCTTTTTTCACCCGAAGTCTTCCAAATCTGCTGAGTTTTACGCTGACAGCCCATCTCGGTCAGAGTGAACCTCATTCCCCGTGCTCACTGGCCATCTGCTTATTGGAGAGCACAGATCCAAGCCATCCGAGGCGGACTTCACCTATTAGTGTCTTGAAGACTTTCTTCCTTTCTGAATTTTGTAGGGGCATTGACAGAGGATGCATGTTTATCATTTTCTAATTGTTTAAAACACATTTACAAGTACATATCTTCGTTTCGTGTAAACTATTATTATTATTTTTTTCTTCATTGATTTTTTTAGAGAGAGGAGAAGGGAGACAAGAGAGAGAAACATCAAAGAGAGAGCGTCGACTGGTTGCCTCCTGCATGCCCTTCACTGGGGATCCGGCCCACAACCTGGACATGTGCCCTGACCGGGAATCGAACTGGCGACCTCTTGGTGCATGCTCACAAAGATGCTCAACCACTGAGCAACACTGGCCAGGCATTTTGTGTAAATTATTGGCTGCTGGTATCAGTGCACACTATCTGTCTTATTTAGTCTATAACACTCCCCACACCCCAACTTTTATCTTTTTTACTGATAACTATTACTAGGACTTCTGTAGAACTTGAGGGCAAGGAATCATCCCAATCTATGTATCTATCTACGTATCTATCTATGTATCTATCTATGTATATCTATCTATCTATCATCTATCTATCTATCTATCTATCTATCTATCTATCTATGTATCTATCTATCTATCTATCATCTATCTATCTATGTATCTATCTATCTATCATCTATCTATCTGGATATATAAGTTCATCTCTATTCTTAGGTAGATTATATGAGGCAGAGAATACAATCATTCATAATAAATCATTTGAATAAATCAGAGCAGGAGAGACGTTTTTGGACTTTGAGAAACAGATGAAAAACAAGAGAGAGATTCTTAGGTGTATCCACAGAGACCTGTCTCAGCGCTCACGAATACAGACCGTTCTCCTCGTCTAGGAATGGCTGAGCTATGTATTCTGTCTGGGGGCACAGATGGACACTCTGATTTGTATACGATTTCAGGTGGTATTTCAAGATGGATGTGCGGAGAAGAGAGAAACAGGTCCCTGGTGGGGAGAAGGGAATAAGCAGGGAACATGGCACAGAAGGGAGAGCATGACTCGCTTTAGACGAGGGTGACGAGAGAGCTGAATGTCCGCAGGTGAGGGAGGAAAGTTAGGGATGGACAGATGGACGCCCTCAGTGGAAGGCCTGGCACGTGTGCTTACATTTGGATTTATTTTGTAAATAATAGGGAATCGTGTGAGCATTCTGAGCCACAAAGAAACCTAGTCCCAGCCAGGTTTTAAGGGAATTAAATATAAAACAGTGTAAAATATCAGGGAGAATGTCAGAATTAGAGGGCAGAGCAGAAGAGACCAGGACTCGGGGATTAGACATGCGGCTCAGTGTATGGTAAGTAACTTGGAGGGTAGATGTCGATAATGAAAAAAAATCCAGACCAAAATATGAGCAAAGAGAAGAGGCATTAGTTGGGGTGCACTGAGCTGGGACACATAAAGGCTCTAACACAGAATGGCTCCATACAGAAGGGTAGCAGGTGAGACTGCTCCAGGTAGGTGGGGTCGTGGGTTGGCCCTGCTCCGTGGTTCTTCACCGACCCTCACAGACATTTGCTCCCACATCTTCATCAGCAGGAAAACTGTCCCAGAAGGTGCCTTTCCAGGCATCCAGTATGGGAAGAGAGATGAAGGAACGCAGGTGGGAGGTTTCAATGGACCAAGGCCGGCCACGCCATCCCGCTCGCGTGGCCGTGGTTGGAACCCGGTCGCGTGGCACGGGAGGCTGGGTCCTGAGGGCTAGCTGTGTGTGCTGGAAGAACAGAAAAGTGGTGTTGCTGGACGGCTAGCGGTCTCACTGACAAAGACCTAGGAGAGAAACCAAACCTCTTCATGCACCTGATTTTTCTTCCATTAGGATTGTTTTCTTAGGGTACATTTCCGAAAGTGAGGTTGCTAGGTAGATTTAGGAATGTTTTCATGTATTCTATCGCTTTCTTAAAGGTTCACCTGAGTTTGTATCCTTTTCTCTATCTCCAGGATCTGCCTGGTTAACTTTGAGCCTCCTCCCTGTGTATCTACGGTTTCATGTCTCTTTCCTTATAATCCGTCTGGGCTGCCTTATGTTACATCTCTCCTCCTCTCTCACCTTCTTCTCTGGTGCCCGTCCAAGGCAGAGAAGGATCAGGTCTAATAGATCAGTCGTAGACAACTTTTAGAATCTACTTTCTCATCAGCTTGAAAAGCCGGGGTGTATTGGGTCTCAGACCCCGCTGCACATAGCGTCACCTCCAGCACGTGCGTAACTCCGGGTGCCCCGGTTTCACCTCAGATTAGTTCAACTTTCTGGGAACAGTGCCCACATATTCTTCACACTCCCCAGGTGGTTCTGATGAGCAGCCAGATTTGAGGGCCAGGTGTTAAGTCACGGTGGCAGGAAGTCTCCGTCATTTGCTTTCCCTCCCCCTATGAAGATCAGTATTTCTAATCAGATCCCCACTCAGGAGTGAGGGCAGCTAACCAGTCCTGTGTCTGAATCTGAGCAGATTTATCCGCAGGGGAGGGGGCAGTGTGCAGGGGGCAGCCCCAGCCCAGGATGTTGCCAGAGGCCCGGAGAGCAGGTGATGTCCTGGTGGGTCTGACTCCCTGGGCTTGTGCCCACCTTACTTGACCTATCAAGGACTTAATCTCCAGCCTGCCTGGATTGGCATTTTCAATGGTTTGTGACCATTTTCTCACTGCAACACTAAAAAAAAAAATTTCTTTATTGATTTTAGAGAGAGAGAGAGAGAGCAAGGGAGAGAGAGAGAGAAACATTGATGAGAGAGAACATCGATTGGTTGCCTCCTGCAGGCCCCCCAATGGGGATCGGGCCCACAACCTGGGCATGTGCCCTGACTGGAATCGAACCAGCAACCTCTTGGTGCGTGGGTTGATGCTCAACCAGTGAGCCACACCAGCCGGGCCCTGCAACATTTTATACTTAAGTTTCTAAAAGAGTTTGCAGGATTTTTGCTGTGGTTACGCTTCCCTAGAATTTGCTGCTGTAGTTACATGTTTATTTTCCATATTCTCTAGTAGATTTTACTCTATGAATTACCCAATAACCCAGAGCCTGGCACCAGTGATGTGGAATAAACATTTATTGAGTGAATTAAAGAATAAAAGGAGGGAAAAGGGATTTTATTCTATAAATGATTAGACATTCAAGTTGGACGATAAATTCCCAGTAGTAGACTATTTTATATTGTGGAGATCAGTTTCTTTAGGAAGCCTAGCAAAGGAGTGCCTTTTTATTTATTTACTTTTTTCCCCACAAATATTGTCCTCATCCATCACTATGTGAAAACTTTTAAATATGTTTTTATTGATTTAAGAGAGAGAAAGGAAGGGGGAGAGAGAGACATCAGTGATAGAGAAACATCCATCAGCTGCCTCCTGCACGTTCTCTAGTGGGACTCGAACCCACAACCCAGGCACGTGTCCTGACCGGGAATCGAACCCATGACTTCTTGGTCCATGAGTCGAGGCTCAATCCACTGAGCCACACTGGCCAGGACACTACGTGAAAACTTTTAGATTCAAACCTATAGCTCCTTTCTGTTTGCCAATGGAAGTATTTGAACATGTTTAGAAGCAGGGAAATCCTTTAATTTGAAAAATTTAGTATCAGTTGGGTGAAGGCCCTACTGAACTGGCAAAATGTTTGAATTAATAGAAACGTATTAGGCGTGGCGTACACAGTGACTTCAAACTCGAAACCAAGCTTCAGGGGACCTCTGGCTTAGAAGTACAGTTCACCCGTTACTGGTATAGACGTGTTTTGAAACGGTCTTTACTTAAAGCTCTTGACTACTTTCCTCCCTCTTAAGTCCTTTGCTCAGCAAAGGCAGCTTTGAATGGAATCTGTTTCTATTGTCTTGGAATCTGCAGTGTTGGGCCTGGTAAATAAGGCCTTACACTGAACAGTTTGAGGGTTTTTCCTCATTTGTTCAATATGTTTCACCGATTACCACATCCACGGATAAAGCAGCTATAGACCCAATGTCCGCCTCACGTATTGGCTCCAAGTTTCCCCAAAGCCCCTTCTCCATTCCCAGCACTTCGGTAGGACCAGCACCGGCAGTATTTTCAGGGGTAAATGCGAAGTGTGTAAACCCCTCGCGTTCACGAACTTGCTTGCGTCCAGAGTCAACTTTGGAGAGCTTCCCCTTCAAGCTGGGAGAGAAAGCTGAAGCCGGGCTCTTTTCCTTCCAGGAGAACGCGGTGAACGGGGAGCACCTGTGGCTGGAGACCAGCGTCTCGGGAGACCTGTGCTACCTGGGCGAGGAGAGCTGCCAAGTGCGCTTCGCAGTGAGTGTGCTCCCCGACCTCCGGGCTCCGACCGGGCGCGGCCTGAGGACCTGGGGTCCCCGTGCCTGTTTCTAGGACAGGTTGGAAGGAGCTTGTCCCTTGTGAGACAATCGGCAGAGAGAGTGTATCCAGTTAACATGGCTTTCGGGGGGTCAGTTTCAGTGGGGTCAGGGCTTGATGACGGATGCCAAACCCAAGTATTGATGTGTTACCTATGATGACACCCAGGGCTGGGTTTTGTCTGTGTGTCGGGTGGGAGAGAGGGACAATGTGCATGAGGGAAGGTCTGCTCAGGTAGGGTGTCTGTTAGGGGACAGGTGTGTGTGGAGGGAGGTCTCTGTGGAAGGGGCGACTCCTTGGCAGGGGCGTGTGAGTGGCGGTGAGCCTGACACGTGAGTGAAGGTGCGGATGGGTAGGGACACCTGTCTGGGGGTGGGTGTAGGCTAGTAAATAATTCAGACTAAGTTTTGGGGGGTAAAATTCTCAAAACCATACAAACAACCAATAGTCAACGACATCGAAATACTCTTTGCTTTTACATTTTTACTGTGTGTCCCTGTTTCGAACAGTCTGTGTAAATGCTGAATTCTCTTTGTGCTCCGTGCTGGATCATGGTTGCCAGGCAGTAAGTGAGGGACTACATTTCCAGTGTTGAGAAAGGGAAATTAAAGTTTTTGGGCGGCTTAAAATGATGGGTCTGAAAACAGAGTAATCAGCAATCGGAATAGCAAAGAAGAAAGAAATGTTCCTTCCGGGGAAATGGGTGTCGTAATTGAAATAATACCTTTTTTTTTTTTTCTTGTTATGTTTGTTTATTATGTGCAAGAAAGATTTGGGGCCAAGTGGACCTTGGAATTACAAGTGAATGTTTCTGTTCATAACTATGAATAACTAATGAGGAAGAAATTGAGTTTCCGTCAAAGCTTGTAGAAACATGTAGCCTTCAAGGACTTTTATCAAGGCTGCTTGGAACCCCAAAGCTGAGACCCGAGCCCTTGAAAATGACATTAGCTGTTTCGATGCCTAGCTTATAGGTTTTGTTTGGAAAACCTCATGAGAGTTTTGGGTGACCGGGGGATGGTTTGAGCGAAGTTGGGAATAGTTGAATGTCGACGCAAGACTCTCAACTTCAAGCCAGGAAACCTGGGTTTGAATCTCCGTGTCACGGCTCATTGCGAGAGACACTGAGAACTCCTGACCTTTGGGTGTTCTCTACCTTCTCAGTAGATACATGGACTAGGATTAAACTATTTTGCTTCCAACTCAGATCTGGACTTAATTGTTTGCATTTCTTTTAATCTGGTTGTACATTCAGTCGATTTAAATATCACTTCAGGGAGGAGGAGGTCAATGGTGGTGGTGGGGGGACACATCTGTAATTCTTTCAACAATAAAGGTAAAAAAATAAATATCATATCAACTTTATGAAAATGTATTTTTAATGAAAGTATAATTGCATGGAATTAGTTAACCAAAACCAAGAGAAGCTTAGCTATCTGGACTGAAATCCTCTAAATAATGAATTAACATTATTATCATAGTTAATTGCATAAACACTGGTCTTGTTAACGTAAAATGGAAAAAAGTGAAAGCCAGTCTTGGGTGTATACTTTTAAAATATTATCTACTGATATTGCTGCCAGTTGATAGACTGTAATTAGTTATGGAGTTCTGCCTTATTTCCAAATTACTGCCTTTGATTCATCCTTGTGTTCTTTTAGGGTTAGCCACGTATTACCTCTCCTGCCAAATATATGGACCTGTAAATGTATCCTCCTCAAGTCTCGTGTCAGTCACTAGCATTGCAACCCACTGATTATAACGGGATCACCCTTCCCTTTAGGCCAGGAAAAACAGCAAGGAGAATAAAGGAAATTTTAGGTAGACGTCAGGAGGTGATTGAGTTGTGAAAATGCCCAGTGTTCCTTTGACCCTTTCTCAGAATTTCCTTTCAAACCCTAGGCTCTGTCGACTCACTTTCCAAATTGACGATGACGAGCTCTTCTTTGAAAAATGTTGGCTAAAACACAGAAATAAATCCGCGAGGATGCTAAAGACCTAATTGTGTTTCCTCATTAGAAGTTCCTGAAGGCTCCATTTCTTTCCAATCTTGTCTGGAGAATTAGTTGAGATCGCACATTAACAGGACTTATTTGCCACAGTGACGGACATAGTGGATTGAAAGGGAAAAAGAAAAGGACAAGAGCAGACAGTTCACAGGAGAACTACCAACGGCCAATATGTATGTGAAAAATATAAACAAAGGCACCTGGATTGAAGAGTCAATATCATGTGCCTATTACATTAACAAGAATTTACAAAAGATTAATACCTATGGCTGGTTAGTTCAGGCCAATATGGGTACTCGTATTGTTAGCTGGTGGGATGCCAGTGAATATACTTTGCAGTATGGAGCAAAGCATTGAAAACCTAGCTCTCAGCCTGGCAGGTGTGGCTCAGTGGATTGAGCATCGTCCCACAGACTGAGAGGTCCCGGTTCAATTCCTGGTCGGGGCACAAGCCCGGCTTGCAGGCTTGGTCCCCAGTAGGGGGCGTGCAGGAGCTGCCCGGTCGATGTTTCTCTCTCACATCGATGTTTCTATCTCTCTCTCCCTTCCGCTCTCTCTAAAAAATCAACAATAACAGATTAAAAAAAAAAAAAAAACAAAAAAAACCAAAGCCTAGCTCTGCCTGCCTGTCGGGGACAGCACATTTTGAGAGGAACGTTGATAAGCAGAAGACGTAGAGGATTGTGCTCAAGTGGGTTCGGCGTAGGGAACTTTGTAGAAGGAAGAGTTAAATAAGCTAGGGTGCAGAAGAGTATTACAGAGGGAAGGGAGAGAGCCTGGACCCCTGCCTGTGTCTGAAGAGTTGCCATGAAGAAAGGGGGGTGTCTCGCTCGGCATCAGGAGGAAGGCAGGAGGTTCAGGAAGTTCTCAGCACTGCGGAACCCACGCCCTCCAGTAGAATAAACATCACTCAGGAAACCTGCTAACAGCGTAGGTTATCGTTTCTCTCCCTGCTCCAAAGGCTGATTCCCTAGGCCTGGGGTTGGACTGGAACATCTCTGATTTCAGCAAACACCTCCCACAATTACGGCGTAGATGGTCCACAAAGCTAACTTTGAGAACAACGTGTTATAAGAAAGACCTTTAACCTTTAGAGCTGCCCAGCAAGGGGACAAGATGCCTGGGGAGATGGTCTCAAAGGGCATGTGGACGAATACGTGGGCTGGACACCTTGATACTGCGTGTGTGGGGGGGCACATCTGCTTTGGGTAAGAGGTTCGGCAAGGAGATCTCCAAGAGAGATCAGGTTTGCATGTTCTATTTGTAGCTTTCTTAGAATCGAAGTGCATTTTTATAAGAAAAATGCACTCATAAAGAGACTATTATATTCTCATTTCTTTTCATGAGCCACCTTTGGAGAGAGCTGACCTGCTCTGGGGACCAGGCGCCATAACCAGGTGCTCCCTGCGTCTTCCCACTTCAGTGCAAGCGAGAGGCTCGAGGAGGGGCGAGTGCATCACCGAGGGGTACCTTTCTGTCCCCTCCGTCTCAGCAAAGCAGATGTCATGGGTAGACGTTAAGAGAAGGGAGAAGGCGGTGTGGGTTGAGTAGACGGAGGTGGCTTGGCGGAAACAGTTTGAAAGACGGGGAAGATTTACATGAGTGGAGTTGAGGAAGGAGAACATTGCAGGCTGGGAGAGGAGCGTGAACTCAGAGCAGGACAAGCTTTGCAAGGAAGGAGGCCACCGGGAGACGTGCGTTTGCACCCACGGGCGTGTGTTGGGTAAGAGTGGGAATGAGGACAGATGGGGGTGTGTACCTGTGTTTTCTGAACCCAGACTTGGAGTGCGTGTTATAAATGTCTGTGCTTATGAAGCATGACCTGTGATATACTGTCTAAACCAAGACAATGTGTGTGTGAAAGTGGCTGCTGCTGTAACATTAAGGGTCACCTGCGTCAGGGCCCCTGTCACCCTGATTTATGGGGATACCGCAGGAGTCTAGTTAAAACCAAAGCTGTCCTGCAAATCCACGACCTCATGCTGCCATCTGGTTGATATCTGGGGGCTGATACTGGAGAGCATTGGAGGGAAGGCAGCAACATCACAGGACACAAAAACTGTCATAGGAGACTTTGTTCCAAAACCTTGGGGCTGGACCCGATGGCCTTTAAAATCCTTCCTCTTCCATGTTTCTCTAGTGGCAACATTCAATATGGTAGAATGTCTGGGAGCAGTTATTTAACGGGATTCAAGTTACTTTCAAATCGGTGACAGTATCCAAATTAGTAACTGTTTCTTTTTCTGGTCTGAAAAGGAGACAGGGATGCAAACATAATAAAAAGGGGAGCAGAAGAATAGCGGTTTCCCAACATGACTATGGAGGGAAATTTAAATTAAATGGCAACCGGGACCACTCTCCTCTGGTGATTTTATTTGGATGGACATTTGTTCATTCATATATTTTGTAGGTGTTGTGGGCTGAGTACCCAGGATCAGAAAGTTCCACTAGTATCGGGAGTGACAGTGGATTCTCTGACAGCCTCACTGTTTGGTGGTAGAAACTATTCTCATGCTTTGTGGACAGGATATGCAAAGATGTTCAACCAATATTTGTTCCCAAAGAAACGGCACCTCCGCTGATAATCCCCAAAGCACACACCAGTGCACAGCCGTTGTCACACTCCAGACGCTTGCCCACCCCTGTGCGGACGTGCACAGCTGTAGTCACACCTGCCTGTGTGCATGTAGGCGCAGGCAGGCAACCAGGGTGGAAGGAAGGAAGTGGACGTTGTGCGAGATGGACCTGGGTTTGAATCCTGCTGTTCCATCTATGTGCTGAGTGAACTTTGGACATATTGTTTCACCTTTTTTGCCTCCATTTATTTATTTTTTTCTTTATTGAGTTTAGAGGGAGGGAGAGATAGAAATATCGATGACAGAGAACATCGATTGGCTGCCTCCTGCATGCCCCCCACTGGGATCGGGCCCA